CCTCCAGATTGCATTGTCTGCCTTCCCCCCGCTACTTTGCTGAGGGAAACACTGTCAGCATCAAAGTGAAGTACTCACTCCTCCTTCTCCCCTCCCACCCTTTTGCTGAGGCAAGAACTCCTTCCACCTACAGCAGCCAGCAGTCTCTGTGTTACGTTGTGGTTTTTCTAAAGGAGGGAGCAAACGATGATGTCCTGTGTAGTCATTCAGCTCATCTGACTTAGGGTAGCTAGCTTATGGAGAATACAGGGCACCTCCAGAAGATGATTCCTCCACTTAAAATCGTAATCATGTTCTACAAATGCCCATCCTTCCACTGATGTTAGGAGGAGCTCGAGAAATCCGCGCTCCTAGCTTGGGCACCCTTCTGAAGTGCCTGAGAGTTAGGTAGGATGAATATGGGCTGGACTGCAACGGGAGAGGACACTCTTGGTTCTGCCAAGTTGCAACCTTGCTGTATAACAGAGTGTCCGGGAGACAAGCAGTAAGCTGTAGGCAACTGAGCCTCACGTTTATTTCAGTTATAGAAGGGGAAGAGGATTGTGAAGGGGGAAGAGAAAATCAGATAACTATATTGAAACCGAGACAATCAAGAGGCCTATTTTAAGCTTGCAGCGTGAATCTGTTGCATTTCTGATTGGACTGACTCGAATTCAGGCTAAAACTGACGCAGCCTGACACAGAGCACAGAGCTCAAGGGTCTTTAAGATACTCAAGGCCTTTGAAATACTTGTCCTCTTTGAGAGATGTATCTCAGGAAGGCAGCACGCAGTCTGCCTAGTCCTGATATCACCTACCCTATGTCTGAGATTAGGGAAAGAAGGACTAGCACAGCTGGTGACGGGTTTTCCTGCTCTTTTACTTTCTTCCTATCAAGTCTTTGCTGATCAGCGTAATTATAGCACAGACTCACATTGAGATTGCTGGGGAAAGGAGAAAGGTGTAAAAAACTTGCTGCATTTGGTTTGCCAGGATGAGCTGCTAAGTTTGCAGAGTTTTAGAAGCAAGACTTACGATGAATCATTTTGACAGGCTTATGGAGAGCATCTTTGCCATAAATCACCATTTTTCTTGCAAAAATCAATGATATCCTAAAACACATGGCTGAGAAATCCTATATTCACTTTACCCAGTGCCTTTTTAATTGTCATTATAAGAAAGTCTGAATACAATAATATTTACACACCTCCTCAATCAGTTAGGGAAAATCTATTGGTTTTGACTAGCTGTCCTTCTTGGGTTAAATCTTGGCCTTATCATTCCCGTGTGGATAAGAACATCCTGTGGAAGATGGTGAACGATTAGAAGCCATCGGCTTCAGCGCCAGCATGCGTGGTTCCCACAGGTGCCTCACGCTGCTCCTTTTAGGTTGAGTGAGAAAACTGTGGGTCTTTCTTTGCCTAAATGAGACTGGTCATGTGGAAAAGGCAAGAAAATGTGTTTCCTGCTATTTGAACCCTAATTATTTGTCCTGGTTTGAGGTAAAACAGAACCAATTTTCTGTTCAGTAATTTCACTTTGCAGCTAAGCCTCTTCTGTCTAACTGAACTCGCTGAAATTAATGGCGTGTTTTTAAGACAGTAGTCCGCTTCCAAAGTGGTAAGACCTGTGTTTATAGTTGATGCCAAGGAATGGTATGCCGAGAGGCTCTTGCTTATACTTAGTGCTATAACACCCAAGGCCACCTAACTTTGTTGTGTGCCCCATTGGAGGGTCAGAAGCAGAAAAGCGTAGAGAGGTCCCACCTGCGGGGAGGAGTGGACAGGACAGGTGACCCAAAATTGACCAACACAGTATACCATCCCATCTGCCTCATGCTCAGTATAAAAGCTGAGGGATCAAAGGATCAGCCTTCTTTTCTTCAATGGCTGACGTCCAAGGAGGACTCTGTCTGTTCGTCTGCCTCTGATCCTGGTCCCTGCATTCCTGAATCCAGATTCGGCATCCAGTTCCCATCTGTTGCTGAGTCCAGCCTGGGACTTTCCCAGTGCCTGCTGGCGATGTGATTGTCATCCTGGGAGCTTGATATGTTTTTTTATATACTGTATATATTCCATGATTTCCGTTTTATTATGTTATTAATATTTTCATTAAAGTAGTTTAGTTTCTTTTCTAAACTCATAAGTCTCTTCCTCTCTCTTCCTCCTTTCCCTGAAGGGAGATGCTCTCCCTTCTCTGAAGGGAGAGGTCAGAGAGCATCTGTCATTCGTTTCAGTGGCCAGTCAGGGCCAAACCACGACACTATTATATTTAAATCTTTGAGTAAATTAGACCCAAGACTCCTCAGGTCTACCTAAGAGATGAGTTGTTTCTTACACTGGTACGTTCCCCAGAAACTAGTTGGATGCTAACACCAGAGACTGCAATGGCAATACTAATGCATGCAGTGCCCTTTACTAGCAGAAGGGCTTCCAAATAGATGGCTTTGACTTTCTATGGGTCCACAAGGGATGCCTTTGGGATTGGAGACTGAAAACCCGTTCTTCCAGTGAGGCAGTTCCAGTCATGAGGAATTACCTTTGTAAAGATTTGCAAGTAGCAAAGGCCACTGTATGGCAATTCATGCAGGAGAGAACAGCCTGGTTTATCGGAGACTGCTTTAACATTGTAGTACCAGAGAGTGGCTTAAGGACGAAATATCTCTTAATTTTGAATTTCCATGATTTTGTTATTTAATGTAAGGCTACTAGTATTATAATCTTTGCACATACTGTGTTTTGCATCTGTATGTTTCATGGCTAGCCACCAAAAACACGATACGTTCATGAAACCTTCTGAACTTGTCAGTGTGAGACAAAGACTGTTTAGTTCTGGCTGGAAATGTTAACAACGTTGCTGTGTGCTCCCCAGAGCCAGAGATAATTTTCCATACTCTGCAGCAAGGTACACACCTACTGAGGCACTGGTTTAAAAATTTGCTCTGCTAATTTGTAGCCAGGTTTTAGATCCATTCTAATATTTCAGCTCCCTAGATCTATACAGATATCTTCACTTACACAGCCAGGAAACGACCTCATAACAGATTAAAAGATGAGAACTCTTCAAAGACTGCAAGATTAATTTAATGTCCTGCAGATTCTCTCAGTAGGCTGGTAGTAAAAAACCTCACCCTACAGCTTTTCAAATCTGTATAAAATATTTATCTGCCAAGATTTTTAATGGCAGAATCTGCCTAAGTATTTACTCTCAGTGACCTGTATAGTTAAGGCTTACATAATTACGTTATACACCATTTACTGGAAAGGCTTTAAATATTCATTGACTCCTCGTGTTTTAATGTAAACAAAGCACTTACTTAGAATACCTAGGGTTTTTAATTCCTGCAAGGTGAAAAAGATGTCTGAAGCAGATGTTACTGCTTGGATGAGTGTTGCTCTGAAGCAATAGGGCAGATTGATGGTACTTAAATGACAGAGCACAGTAGCTTCTGGCCAGAGATGTACACGTCTGCACATCTCTCATTCTGATCCCAAACTAGTGTTCCTCAGGAGCTAGCTCTGCCTGAGTAAATAAAGTTGAAAAAAAGTGTAAAATGGGTGAACATCAGTGGAAAATCAGACCTCGACATTTCTGACTGCCTTCATTGAATCCCATCTGTTTTATTGGTTTGTCAGGAACATGTAGCCAAAACAGGCGGTAAAGGGAGGCAGCGGGGAGTTTACATCCACATGCCTGGGCAAGGCACCACTGCGCCTTGCGCAGACATCACGCCTGCTTCTGGAAGTAAAGAAAACTGTCCTCTTCTCACAGTTCAGTAGGGGAGGGACAGGGAAAGTATCTATTGCCTGCTCGTCCTGGAGTAGAGGAACAAGACTCGGGTGTAGTGGGCACAATATGGCACGTGACTGCCAGGGGTGGGGGAGAGGGCCAGGGAAGGCAGACAACTTCAAATGTATCAGAAATGAGAACTGCCAGAATTACTCCTCATCCATTGCTGTCACTGTTTTTATACGTCTAGTTGGTTAAAATTAGTTTAACCAGCATTTTCTTAGGTTGTCCTATCCGGTATTATTCTATTTCATGTGTAAATGATTACGACTTTGCGGTTAAGCAAGTTCTTACTTACCTGTGAATTTCAAAGTTGAAGGCAAATCGAAACATCACAGGATTATTTGTTCTGAAATATTATATGAATTTATCCACTAAATCTTGATAGCACACAGCACATGTACCAGTAAAGAGCCTGCTTTTAATGAATCACAAATCTGATTCGTTCTACTTATGCTTAAAGAACTGTGGATATGTTTAACGTGGTTGTAGCATTTTAAAAGGCTATTTGAAGGGGGACAAACCCCAGCTCCCCTTCCTTTTAGGAATGCTGAGGTTTTGGCAATGGATAACACAGCTGCCTTCTTGCTTTAGGCATTGCTTACTCAAAGCAAAATAGTTAACTTCCAGGCTTCTTTTATCTTAGACCTTTTAAAGATGAATAAACTAAAAAGCAGCAGCTGATCAAAATAACAAAGGGTGGTAAGGTGCCTTTAGTTCCTTATAAGAGTGTCTGCAAATTCCTGGTGGAATTCTGGGCCTGGCGCTGATGGAGCTGGCTAAGGATATCGATCGCCACTTGAATTCACTGAATAAATAATGGTTGCCATAGTTATTGAGCATTCACAACTGGTGGGGAAGCACGGAAATCTCCAAAACACCTCCTGTGATAGTTTTGCTGGAAAATCACCCAATTAATTCTGTCTCATATCACGAAAATTATGCACGATACAGAGGATGCTTGGGCTCCTTGTGCTAGAATTTCAATCATAGTTGACTGTCTCTGCCACCTATTTTAGCAGTGAAAGAGAAAAGGGCGCTTGCTGTTTCTTATTCTGAGTGGCAGAAAGGTTAACTGACATGGTATAACCCCAACTGTTCTGAGAAATCTTATATTTTCAAAGCATTTTTTTGCGTTGAGTACCAGAGAATGGATTTGGGTTACACCAAAGCAAACTAATTCTCTCAAATTGTGGTAGGGATGCTGATGTGCTTTTTCCCTCGCTTTGCAGAACGACATGGATTAAAAGAACCAAAGAAAGTGGAAGAGCTATGCAACAAGATCACAAGCAGTTTGAAAGATCACTTAACTTTCAGTTGCCAAAATAAAGGACAACCGCTTGAGTCTGCAGAGCCGAAGGTACTGGGTGTTCTGGCTGACTTGCGTTCTCTCTGCACACTGGGACTGCAGCGCATCTTTTACCTGAAACTGGAAGATTTGGTGCCAGCCCCTTCCATTATCGACAGGCTGTTTCTGGACACCTTACCCTTCTGAGTCAAACCACCCTCCAGAAAGGCAAATGCCCACCAGAGCAGGCAAACGGATCGGGACTTACAGCTAACATTTCTGCTCTCACTTAACAGAAAAGCAGCTCCAAGTCTAAAATGAGGTCTTTTCTGGCGCTTTGTCCTTACAACCTGAGGCCTGAAACTTACTGGCTTACTGGTTTGGGGTTGTGTTCTTTGTTTTCTTTTGTGTGATTTGGGTTTTTTTAAATGGCTAATATGGCACTTTTGGACAATGCTATCCCAGCAGCAGTAAAAGGTTAACATGACTGTTTCAAATCTGTTGTTTAACACCTCATGGCATATGAGGAGTAAAATTGTAGAAGCTGTGTTTGAAAACAAGAACAGCAAATAGTTGTTTGCCAGGGTAGTATGTGTTTTGTGAGGATACCTTTAGCATACTTCCTGCATCAAGGGCACATACATCAGCACAATCTAAACAAAAATTCACTTTTTTAGCAAAGTACATTCAATTGAACATTTCATACCAATCAAATATAGCAAAATGACAATGGCTGTTAGCTCCCATGTTCAAGTGCAATTTTTTAAAGTGCTGTCTTACTAAGTCTCGTTTATTAACTAATTTATTTTACTATGAAAACAAACAGAAGAAATCAAGTGAGAAAATTACATGCACTAACTTACCTGACAGAGTTTTCCAAACTTGATTCCATGTAGCGCGACTTATTGACAAATGTATGTGGAAGACACGGGAGCAATTGTGGCTCAGTTGTTCCTCAGCTAAGGAAATCCGAGTAAGTAGTGACTGGAGCATACAGGGTCAGCATCAGGGATAGTTCAGTTCTAGACTTCTAACGTAAGCGACTAGTTAGTAAACGGACAGAAGATGGTTTTCAAGAACAAGCAAGTCTTGTAAAATAGTATGAATGTAAGTGCTAGGAAGGATATAGTGGGCTGCGTTTAAACATTCCGTGTTCGTACTCCTTTTTGTATGTTTATACTGTTGATGCCATATTAATATGAAATAATTTGTTGCATAGTGTCCTTATTTGTATAAATGTTTGTATGCATGGTATATTGTAATGGCTTTGCCTGTATTTATTGCAATGACTGCCAGCTCATGGGAGCCCTGTTACACATGATAACTAAATGGGGTGTTCACACTGACTCAGATACACCAGTTGGAAAACTATATACATATATATAATGTGTATATATATATGTATATACCTATATTTGTGTGCGTGTGTGTGTGCGCGTGTCTTTTTATTAACCATTTGTATATAAAATACCTGTCAAATCACAAGCAGAGTTATTTTACAGTTTATTTGCAGTGACTTCTAAGGCAGTACTGTTTAGCACTTTGATATTAAAATCTTGCTCATGTTTTGCTAAATTCAAATAATATTTAAAAAGTTTAGTTCTAAGAAACTTTATATGCACTGTATTAAGTCAAAATTTTGTTGGTCATTTTGCTAAGGAAATTTTTGAATGTCAACCTGATGTCACTGTATCTTTTGTTAGCTTTAAACATTCTAGCTTTTGTCTTTTTTTAAACTATGCTGTTTATATGGAAATTAAATTATACAATCAAACAGATGCCAAATGAATTGCCTAATTGCTGCAAAGGATAACCCAGATATCGAGTCACTGTATGGTTTTCAAATAGTAATCTGGTATTTTATCACTTACTATGTTTGGATGTGCTTTTATGAAAAAATTATTCTTATATCAAGATTTATAGTAGTGTCAATAGGGAAACAGACTTCTAATCACTATAGTTAATATTTCCGGTTTACCTGCAGATAATATTTGGAAAAGTATTGCTTTTTGTATTGACTTTTAAGCTTATGTGCAAACATAATAGCATAATTAAATATCAGAGAAGCTAATGTTTCTTGTAGGTTGCTGTAACAAGCCTGACCAGCAAGACAAATATATTTTGACTGAATTTGCTTTTGTATATACTGAATATATATATATATACGTATATATATATACACTCACACACATGTGCGCATACAAAAACATACAGACACAAAATCCAAAAGTATGTTTATTTTCGTCTCCTTGTGTAAGACACAAGGTCCCTCGAGAAATTACTTTTATCTAGGGACAAATCCTGCCAGGTGCTGAGCACCAGCCAGATGAGGGCTTGCAGGTGCTTCTTGCGAGTGGGCCCTTACGAAGAATTTTCAGGCGAATCAGCATAGTACAGTAAAACTGCTTTTTTGTTGAGCAAGGTTTATTTATTAAGTGGAATGTGAGTGGGAGGTAGCAGGTCCAGAGCCCCGTGTGAGATTTCACATAGCCAGTGTCCTCCAGTCTTCCATAGATAGTCTTAACTGTGATACTCTCCCAAATCCCGTCATCTGTGGAATTGTCCTTCATGTCAACTGCAGTACACAGATTCATCCTACAGTACAACCAGTGACAGGTCACAGTGGTAAAAGAAAGACTTAACGCAGAATAAATCTACTACTTTTCTTAGAGCTCTCTCAGTGTGAACATGCCTTTGTCTAGGCAGAATTCAGGAATATATCAGGTGTTAAGGGAGAGTGCCTTGCTTTTATTTCAGACAACAGTGTTTCAAGAGTTTCTTCACTCCGCTAACCGCAGTAGGTTTTTCCTTTTTCTTTTTTCTTTCTTTTTTTTTTTTTTGTGGTGTTAACCTGTGGGTTGAAAGAAATGCTCTTGTACATATACAATGTAAATTAAAATTATTAAATTGAATAACATTTTTTTCAGAGGCCCCATGTGTGTTGAATAAGTATGCTTAATTCTGTTAAAATCTGATGTGAATTTTTTATCCTTTATAAAACATTAAAAAAAATTGTCTACTTGAGTCTTAAAAGTGGAAAAATTGGTGAAGCATGCTTAAGAACACTGGCAATTTAATGGCTAGTCTTTTGATTAAAATAGCTTTTATATAAGTACAATAAGACCTGCAGTATCTGGTTACACAATCTCAATTAGGTATTGAGAGTTGGACCATGGTCGTCCCAGAGGCTGAACTACATACAGACCAGAGCAGAGAGACTACCTGCCCCTCACTCTGCTTCTCCTCCATGCCAGGAAGGGATTGTAATTAACTCACAAATGATGATGGCCACAAGGGAGGGAGGGGATGGCTCTAGGGCTTGCAGTCCCATATTGCACCTATGTTTGGCTAGAAAGAGGACAGAGCTCTGATCCCCTCTTCTGCCCCTTTGTGTCAGTAAATCCTGGTAAGACACTGCCCCAGAAGGCACCTGCAGCATTTTCTTTAAATGTGTATCCAGATCCTTTCCTTACTTTGCTTTGTAGGAGGGATCTCTTATCCCCTGCCAGAGAAAACTGTTTGGCTACAACTGCGTTTTCTACAAATGCAGTTTTGAGAGGCATCTGCCGCTATTCCGGATATTGCCATAAGTACCGATGGCTCCGGCACACCTCCGCGAGAGCTGTTCTTCTGCAGGAACTGCTCGGCTGGAGGTTACATCAAATGGTATGCTGTGGCAGGCTGCAGGATTGGCAGCTCCTTCTTTTGAAATATGACAAAACAAAAGGTTGCTCCAGCTCTTCCAAATTATTTGTTGCTTTTTTCCTATGCCTTATTTTAAAAATTAAACTAAAAATCTTAAAATCCTTAACAAGAACGGCAATGTGTTTTGTAGGATAGTCCCCTGTTAGGCAAAACATGCAGACCTTGTGACCAACCCGCCCCAGCGTCTGAATTTTCACCCTACAAGAAAAAGCTTATCCTCACTAAACTCACAAGTATCTCAGCTACTTCAGGGGCCGTAAGTTGTGTCCTTAGACACGGGAACAGAACTGTGTCCTGATCTAGATCACCTGCACTTGTGTCCTTATGTGTGCCTTATGCACTTCTAAACCACATCAGTGGCAGAGTCCTTCCAAAGGATGTGATGCCCAATGATTGACTCTGGCATGGGGGAAGGTTGGGCTGAGTCAGGAATATGATAGCGTGTTCCTCTAGTAGAGACCATCCTTGGACAGGTGGCAGGCAGCATCGCACCCCAAAATGTGCAACTTTAACTGGAGGTGAGTCAAATCTCTTTGCATAGCTTTCCTACCTTCACTTTTCACATGCAGGTTCATTTGTCCGATATACAAAGCTAAAATTTCGGTTATGTTGCAGAGAGGACGTTTAATTGTATAAAATTAAGCATGGCTCTGACAAAAATTGGCAACTCCCTCTACGGACGCTATGAAACATGCCTTTTGATTAATTATTTGTATTATAGCAACACCTAGAGGCCACAACAGAGATCAGGACCCCATTTTGCTAGCTGTCCTAATTAGCACCTCCAGTACCCAGTCTAAATAGACAAAAGAAAGAGGAGCAACACTAGAAAAAAAGAGTAGAGTGCCATGCCCAAGGTCACATAACATTTCAGTCAGAGTTAGGAATAAAAACTTTTGTTTACTGAGCTAGTGTCCAGTGAATGCTCTTATTTTGTTCTCTTTTTCTTTCCCTGGGCAATTTATGCTGCCACTGTATCAAATTCTACGCAAACACGATAAAAGCATTGACAAATTTAAAAGAACTCATGTATTCAAACTGGTATTGTTTACCCTGTATATGTAAGTCATCCATGACACTATTCAAAATCCTGGTCAATCACATGTTTGGAACTAAGTTGTGATACAAACTAGACATTATCTAGGAAAGAGGTATTTAACTGTTCTTTATTAAATTAATGAAACTGACCACTAGGAATATTTCAAGATATGGATTAAACAATAATTATTAATGGATAAAAAAGATTAACTTTTTAAAATGCCAAACTATTGATGCAGCAATTGAATAAATGGGGAGTCGATTAATCAAATTCTTAGCAGCAGATGACATATTTGAGAACTGTATTCCAGACCAACATTTGTGAGAATTACCAACACAGTGATTCGTCAACTAAAAGAAAAAGAAACTTGTTTACCAAATGGAAACACTTCTGGCAATTTTTCCTCTGTTTTCTTTTTTAGCGTTAGACACCTTTACATTTATATTCATAATACGGGATGTTCTGGCTGCATTTGATTACAGAAGAAGTTTGAATACATGAAGTTTTGACATGGCTGTGAAAGCTAGATGAGATCAAGATTCTGACCTAAACTCACGAAAGCAAGGGTTTTCTTTAGAGAAGGGTGGGAGTCCAGCTGTAATTAGATACTATGTATACTGGAAGATACTTATGTGTGTATAATGGAACTACTTTAATGTCAAACACAAGATTCTAAAGTCATGCAAGAGACAAGACCATGGGAAAAAAAAATGTCTTTTTTTCCTGTTTTTTAGTATTGTCATAGAATCCTGGAACCATTTTGGTTTGAATAGACCATTAAGATCATCAAGTCCAACAGTAAACCTAACACTGCCAAGTCCACCACTAAACCATGCCCCTAAGCACCACGTCTACCCGTCTCAAATACCTCCAGGGATGGTGACTCAGTCATTGCCCTGGGCAGCCTGTTCCAAGTCTTGATAACTCTTTCTGTGAAGAAACTTTTCCTAATATCTAATCTAAACCTCCCCTCGTGTAACTTGAGGCCATCTTCTCTTGTCCTATCGCTTGTTACTTGGGAGAATAGACTGACCCCCACCTCACTACAACCTCCTTTCAGGTAGTTGTAGAGAGTGATAAGGTGTCCCCTCAGCCTCCTTTCGTCCAGGCTAAACCAGCCCAGTTCCCTCAGCTGCTCCTCATAATACTTGTGCTCTAGACCCCTCACCAGCTTCCTTGCCCTTCTCTGAAGATGCTCCAGTACCTCCACGTCCCTCCTGTAGTGAGGGGCCCAAAACTGAACACAGTATTCGGGGTGGGGCCTCATCAATGCCAAATACAGAGGAAGAATCACTCCCCTAGTCCTGCTGGCCAAGCCAGAATGTTATTGGCCTTTGTGGCCACCTGGGCACATTGGGCTTATATTCAGCTGGCTGTCAACCATCATCCCCAGGTCTTTTTCTGCCAGGCAGCTTCCCAGCCACTCCTCCCCAAGCCTGCAGCGTTGCATGGGGCTGTTGTGACCCAAGTGCAGGATCTGGCACTTGGTCTAGTTGAAGCTCATACTATTGGGCTCAGCCCATCGATTCAGGCTGGCCAGATCTCTCTGTAGAGCCATCCTACCCTCAAGCAGATCAACACTCCCACCCACCTTGGTGTCATCCGCAAACTTAGTGAGGGTGCACTTGATTCCTTCATCCAGATCATTGATAAAGCTATTAAAATGAACAGGGCCCAGTACTGAGCCCTGAGGAACGCCACTTGTGACCATCCACCAACGGGATTTAACTCCAGTCACCACAACTCTTTGGGCACAGCCATCCAGCCAGGTTTTTACCCTGTGAAGAGTACACCCATCCAAGCCATAAGCAGCCAGTTTCTCCAGGAGAATGCTGTGGGAAATGGTGTTGAAGGCTTTACTAAAGTCCACATAAACAACATCCACAGCCTTTCCTTCATCCACTAAGTGGGTTACCTTATCACAGAAGGAGATCAGGTTAGTCAAGCAGGACCTGCCTTTCATAAACTCACGCTGACTGGGCCTGGTTCTCCTGTACATGCTGTGTGATGGCACTTAAGATTTTTTGCTCCATTTTAGATTATCACTTTTTCTTAAAAGAACAGAGAACTCTGGCCTTGTTTGGGTGGAATTTTATCTCAAATGAATAAATAAATAAACAGACAAGCTAAGTGACGTTTAAAGAAAGAAATGTGTTTAAGTAGCTGAAATATCTCAAATAACCCAAAGTCTTTAACCTGCTAAGTAACGTATTAAAATACTCCCTCTACAATAACTTCCACTGTGGTCTATGATTAAGCACTACTGTAGAACAAAAGTGAATTATAGAGATGGTTTGATACTGGGGAAACTTTCAAACGTAGCAGACAGAAAACAGAAATTAATTTACCTTTCATGGGGTCTTATTATTTACCTTGCTGTGATTCC